CTGTATGATCGACGTAAAGGAGAGTGTTCTTTAAAAGACTTATCAGCATTAGCCGAAACATCATCAGCGACCAGTCTGTCTGAATTAACACTTCTTGTCACACAGACTTTTGAGTGAGACAGGAAGTCTGTCTGCTTCTCTGCAAAAGACTCAGATTCTGCTGGTATCGTTTCTGTGGAGGTATTTACAGATTTCAAAGAAAGCTGACTAAAGCTCTTTGGGCTATCACTTTTAGAAGATCTGCGAGTGCCCATATCTTCAGGCTTTAACTCAGTATCACTGTCATCACTAGGAATGTATAATCCATTTCTCCTGCCATCCATGGAAAGTCTACTCATGCTATTTCGCATAACAGCACTTTTTTCGGCTGAGGTATCTGGTGCACTTCCACTATTCATACGCATTATACTATTGCTAGCAAAATCTTCCTCGCCTGCAAGGACTTTAGCAACATGTTCATCATAGGATTTTGACCTGCTCATGCCACTCTGGCATGCTATTTCCTTCAAAGCCTGGTCAACACTATCTGATTCAACATTACTTCTAGCTCTGCCGCTAGCATTTGTGTCAGATGCACCTGCAAAGCCAAAACGTGCACCTCGGAACTTCTTTCTTGCTGCAGCGAGTTTAGCAGCTTTGTTAAGTTCCTTGTTGCATCCATCATCACTGGTCCCAGTATTTCCACAACCATTTGTATCTCTTTGTGAGTGTGGCTGCATCTGTGTTGGAGCTGTTTTTGCTATGGGAATTTTACCACTGCCATTTTTATTACTCGCTGACTGCAGTTTTGCCTGAGTTGGTAGAGCTTTAGCTGCAGGAGTGGAGTTTTTAGAGTTATTAGAGTGGGCACTTTTTAAGGAACCGTTTGTTTTATTTACACTGTCTGTACTACTTGATCCATGGGAAAGCTTCATTGCTGCCTTTACATCATCTACTGACAAGGTAGATCGCTTCTTTCGTTTATCTCTTTTCACTTTCAGGTCCTGTTCATTGAGGGCCACACTGGGAATGTTCGAAGCCGTCATATGTGCAACAATGGCCACCTGTGGTGGTGAAGTGGTTGTCTTCATGTTTGAGTCCAGTGTTCGCTTCATGGGACCTGTAACACCAACTGTATCAATCTGCCTGCCTGTGTCTTCAATTGTTTTAAGGACGCCATCAATATCTGTGCCCATACCACTGCTAATTTTTTTTCTCATCGACACCATCACACTTGGACCAAGACTGCAGTCATCCTGACTGCGATTTATAGACCCCACTCTTTCTCTGTTTCTCTGAGTTTTCATCTGCAAAGATTTTGTTAAATCATCCTGACTAGGATTTTTCTCACTGATTGTTTCAAGTGGGGAACTACTTTCAGAAGTTGATACTCCTGCATTCCTTCTAGAACTTTTACTTGCTAAGGGTGTAGCATCTAGAGAAGAAGATTTCAAATCTTTGTGTGTTGCTTCATTAGAACTTGGAGGTGTGGCAAGGCCATCTTTCTTGTTCAGTCTCTGTTTTATTCTCAAAATTAATGCATCAGTCTCATCTACATCATGCGAGAGTTCTTTCCTCCTTTGTTCAGCGCTTAATTTATCTCCTGAAGGTTTGTCAAGAAAGCTTCTAGTTCGACGAAGTGTGTTACTGCTTTTTGAATGTATTTCAGTCTTTAGCGAATCAGTTTGATTGTTCACTGGTGAACCACCACTATCATTTCTAGCTTTAACACTATGCACTGCTGAATTGTTTGCATTTAACGGTGATGGAGCTCGTTCACGTTGCATTTCAGGTATTATTAATGTACTTCGTTTGGCCTTTCTTTCTAGACGACGTCTGTTCAGACTAGCAAAACGTTCAAACTGTGCTTCAGGTTTGCTGGGCTCTGATTCTGAGGTATCCATCAAGAAATCAATCAAAGATTCATCATCTCTGGATGAATTGGATGAATAACTTCTTCTAACACGAGCGTGGGCTAAAGAATCCGGAGTAAGAGAATTTCCATCAGTTGAACTGTTTGTACGGCTGCTCTGTTGACTGAGCCTACCGTGGCTGCCACGTTGAAAGGGAGCATCAGTGGTGTCATCTACCATCTTTTCAGTGGTGTTTAGGTTGACCTTGGTCACCTTGGTGACTGAAAAATTTCCATCGTTGAATTTTCTTGATGCATATCCACTGCGCACATCTGCCAACAGTGTATCCACAATGGATTCTTCCTGGTCTTCCATACTGGTATTCAACTGTTGCTCATCCAGCTCTGTTAAAGATAAACAAAAAATGCAATAACAAACTAATCTCGTATGCTGATGCACATATTCTTTGTAATTTTTCACATGAAGTAAAAATGCACAGGAATCTTCAAGCAAAACCAAAAAAGGCAAACTATTATTTAATTAAATGTATTCTTTGGTCAAAGGCCCAATTATTTTTCTTGAAAGAATTCCTTCTTATTCTTCTTATTCACTATCTGTAAACTTCGGCAGAAAGTTCCCTTTGTTCGTCTATTTCTGGACTTCTCTCTTTTCCAGAGTTTGAGTTTTGCAGGCACATCCATTTTACAGATCTGGCTTATTAGTTTGGAGACTGTTGGTTCTCTGCCTCTCAGACAGGCGCACTCCAGCGTTGAAGGAAACACCCCTAATTAGTCGCCTTGTGCTTGTCAGGTGGGGCAGTGTGTTTGTTCATTCCCCCCCCCCAAAAATGGGGACCAGGAACACACACGGGAATGAAATAATTTAAAACAGGAATGATATATAGCCATAGACAGTGATCTAAATCAATTCTGTAAAAATTACTTTTAAACTTACATCAGGTCATGCTGAAGTCAATCAGATTGAAAAAGCAGACATTTTATGTGTGTGAATATTAAAGAGAAGAATTAAAGACCCTTAAATTAATGATAGAACATCGTAAATGATAATAAAATATAACTCCATCAAACTGTTGGCTTAGGTGGGAGAGCTTAGAAAACAGCTGTTCTGATTGAAAGACATTGGTATCAAGTAGGCAAATGCAAGATTTAAAAGCTTTACATGGGACACAAGAAAAGCGGTTAAGTAATATTATGTTTGTTTGTTTGTTTTAGTATCCAGAAGTCATGAGTTGTTAACCCTTAGGCTCGGTATTATGGATATCGCAACATTTCAGCCTTGATTCCATTGTAAATACCGTAAATCTGGGAGAAAATGTGGCTTTCCTGCCTACCCCCGTGATTGAACCCGGACCACAAGGAGTTCGTCACCCGGTCTCTGCGCAATCCGGTTTAGCCAACTACGCTAGAGAGCCGGGCGTTAAGTAATATTAAATAGGCAGGATCAGTCAAGACACATCTGTAGAAATGTTGAGATTTGAGAATATATGTACATGTCTATTATGTAGACCCCATTCATGACACTGGTGCATCAGGCATATCAGTTCTTGATGGGAGATGTATTCAATAACACACCAGTCATTTTACTTTACACAATTCCTGCTATCCATTTTAGACTGGGCAAACTTCAACTGCTCCAACATGCTGAGAGAAGAAATATAATCTAGAATACAGTCTGGAAATAAAGTATACTATGCCCTTCAAAATCTGCTAAAGTCAAAATCTCTGTCTTGCAACACCAAGATCAAAATATTTAAAACACTGATAAGACCAATCATTTTATATGGCTCTGAAACTTGGAGCACAACTAAAAGAAATGAAGCCTCATTAAAAATTTTCAAAAACAGAGTTATACGTCAAATCTTTGGACCCATCAAAGATGCAAACAGCGGGGAATGGAGAGTGAGAAGCAACAACGAAATTCATAATCAGTTTAATCACCAATGATCAATGGCATCATGAGATCTAAAAGACTGAAGAAGGCTGGGTCATATCGAGAGAATGTGAAATGACAGAGAGGTAAAAACTGTAGACACAAGAGAGCTGAATGGTCATAGATCACGAGGCCTACCAAGAAGACAATGGAGAGATAACGTCCAGACAGACCTGCAAACACTTGGTGTCACCAACTGGAAAAAGAAGGCCAACCATAGAGATGAGAGGAGGTGGGTGATATCTGCAGCAATGAACATCACGAGCTCGGAATGCTAAAGAAAAAGGAGCTTTTAGACTGGATTGACCTGAGGGCTTCCCGTGTGGGTTTTGGGCCTTACAGTGGAAAAAGTAAGAATAGAGCCACTGCCTACCAACAAGCATGTCATAAGAGTTGACTGACTGGGAGCTTCCTTTGAAGTCAGAGTGCATCTGCCTGAGAGGCAAGGAGCCAACAGTCTGCATACAAAAGAGTCAGATCTGTGAAATGAGATGAGCAAGCAACACTCAGGTTCTGGAAAAGTACTTAAGTCAAGAACTGGAAGAACATCCAGAATTTTCTGCCAGAGTTAACAGCCACTGAACGTGAAGAAGAAGAAGTGAGGGCATCTGCCTTGCTGTGTGGATTTGAACCCAAGACTTCAGCTGTTCAGTGGTAGACTTCTTCTTCTTCTTCTTTGCATTAACTGAGTGTAAATTATATTGGAAATTTCTGTTTGTTCACCTATTTCTGAACTTTACACTTGTTACAGAACTTGAGAATTGCATGGAAATCAGTTTTACTGATCTGGCTTGCTTGTATGCAGACTTGGTTCCTTACCTTTCAGGCAGTCACTCTGATTTCAAAGGAAACACCCATAAGTAGTCGGCTTTTATATACAAAATGCTTTTTTGGGGCTAGCGGGTTTATTATTCCATCCCCACCCCATAATGGGACATTGAATGCCACACAGGGATACTGGAATTCAAGCTAATTCTTCTGAGCTTATCTGGACATTAGGAATTTCAGCCATGCCTTCTTCATGCTCAGAAATGGGGAACCCTTGAGGTTATAGAAACACTGTATGTAATAAATAAACAGACAGTGTTTTGATTAGTATTCATAGAAAGTGTGACCTATCTTTCTATTTCTTTCTATGAGTGCTGATCAATACACTGTCTGTTTCTTTATTATTTCTCCATACATTCTACTTCAATATGTCATTATAAATCAACATACTTGGACTGTGTCGAATTTCAGATTTCCTCCTTCTCAAAGTCTTAGCCTCTTGTAAACGACGTTCGGCATTGTCCTGTAATATCATTGACCATCACTGACTTATTAACATATGAATATATAGCAAAAACACACCATCTAGCCTATAAATAAAATGAAATGAAATGCCTAGTGACCTTATATAATTAATATTAATCCTAACGTCCTTTTCAGGACCAAATTTTTTTGTTATTTGAAGCCCCACCCTGGCTTTTGCCAGGGGCCGCAATATAGGCAGGCCATAAATATGGCCAATTGTCTGAACGCGGTTTCTGGGACCTCTCCACGGTGATCCTTATCCACATGGTGGCACTTTGTGTCATCAGGTGTTTATCGCTTGTGTGATGTCCTGGTGGGGTAGAAAGTCAGTCAGTCAGTCATGCCAAGTGACCTGTAATAAGAAAACCCTTTCTGTGAGTGCTAGTGATGCATGAGACGCATACTGCTAGACACATATTTTTATAGACCAATCAGCAATGAGTGAATGATGTTGTCAATAAGATGTTGGTCACCTTTACTTCCAGGACATTCTTTAGTAGCAATTTTAAGCCGGATCAAAGCCAGTTATAACAAATCTACCTCAATGCTAGTGGCGTCCGTGGCTAAGGCGTTGCGAGTCTGACTCGTAATCCAATGTACCGCGATAGAAACCTGCGTGGACTGCGTAGATTGTTATCGTGGTATGGGACGTCGCAGGTCGACCCAGCCTCAAATGGGTACCAGGATGGGCTGTCCTGGGAAAGTAAAGATGGCTGGCGTAATGCTGACCACATTACACACCGAGTGCCGATTGGTCTGTAAAAATATGGGTGCTCTTCCCATATGCCCGATGCGCCTAAGGGCGTGTAAAGGGATCTTTACTTTACTTACCTCAATGCTGATTCCCATTCATGAGCTTTGGATTGTATGTCAAATAATTCATGCTACAACAGCATTTTGAATTATTTCCTTAACTGTGTTTTAAACATTAACATTACACTAACAGCCTGCAGTTTCTCTTTCATACCTCACCAGATCTGTTTTAAACAATAACATCTCTAGCTCTCTGCAGTTTCTCTTTCATACCTCACCAGATCTGTTTTAAATAATAACATCTCTAGCTCTCTGCAGTTTCTCTTTCATACCTCACCAGTTCTGTTTTAAATAATAACATCTCTAGCTCTCTGCAGTTTCTCTTTCATACCTCACCAGATCTGTTTTAAATAATAACATCTCACTAACAGCCTGCAGTTTCTCTTTCATACCTCACCAGTTCTGTTTTAAATATTAACATCTCATTAGCAGCTGCAGTTTCTCTTTCATACCTCAGTAGATCTGTTTCAATATTAACATTTTACTAATAAGCTGCACTGTCTAATTCGCATCTTAGTTAATTAGTTGCATGTCCATTACAGGATGTCGCAGAACCAACCCCAGCAATTTTATGCTGTTTGTGATTTCACTGGGCAATTTTTATATTTGGTAGTTTGCTAATGCTTTCTGAAGGGCTCCTGTTACCACTGTCGAAACCAACGCAAGGCCGCAGCTGGGATCAAACCTGGTACCTCAAAATTATGCAGCAACTCCACAACACCTGAGCTACAAACATCTACCATACTTCAGAAGCTCTAATTTAAATATTAACATCTTTTCTCTTCTTTGTTCACCGGCTGTAAGCTCTGACAGAAAGTCCTGTTTGTTCATCCATTTAGACTTTGGTTTTGTGCCAGGGCCTAGGGTTTGCATGTACATCCGTTTTACTGCCTTATTTTGTGTATCTGGCTGTTCCTTGCTGCTCGGGCAGACGCCATCCGACTTTCAAGGAAGCTCACAATTATTCGACTCTTACGACATGCTTTTTGGAGCAGTGAGTTTACTCTTGTTTTCCCCACAGTGGGGCCCCTGAGCCCACATAGGGATATATTACCATCTTAAAAACAGCTCACAGTTTCTAATTGTTACCTCAGTAGCTTTCTTGAGTCTCTCACAGAAAGTCCTAAGAATGCTGAAGCATTCCTCAAGCTGAAATGTTCTGATGTCCTCACAGAAAAATGTAGCAAGTTCCTGCCTGATTATCTCTATATCACTGAGATCATCTTCCAGCTCAAGAACCTCCACATTGGCCTCCTGACGTGAAGAAAAACAAGTGTTCAGTTAGCATGGACTTACCACAGATAAACTGTCTTTGTGGTCTATATAGACATGTGGCCACAAATTGTGCAGGTTAGGATGGCAATAGTCACTGCTTTTTATGGGGCAACTGGCACATTTTAGTGAAGTGGTCAGTAACATGTCAGGCACCTTTACTTTCCAGAATGTTTACAGATGTTGATCACTGGACCAGCATAAAAAGGAGGAAGAGGATGATAAGGAGAAGGAAAAGAAGAAAAGAAGGAGGAAAAGAAGAAGAATTAGAAAATGAAGAAGAAGAAGATGGAGGTAAAGAAGAAGGGGGAAAAGAAGAAGGGGAGAAAAAGAAAAGGAAGAAGGGACAGGAAAAGAAGAGGAAGAAAAGAAGAGGAAATGAAGAAGGAGGAGGAAAAGAAGAAGGGGGAAGAAAAAAAAGAAGGGGGAGAAAAGAAGAAGCGGGAGGATGAAAAGAAAAAGAAGAATGGGATGGAAAAGTAGAGAACAAGAAGCAGAAAGTGGAAAGGGAGAAGAAGCAGAAAAAGAATACACAAAGTTTTAAAAAAAAAACTAAATGAAAATTCTACCTTGAGAAAAACTGCCATCTGCTGCTGAAAGTCCATGCCTGCTACAACAATCTGTTCTGTGATGGCCCTGACCTTGGAAGCGATGTTGTTAATGTCTGTTGTGAGGGTCTCAATTGATACTCTGTTGAGAAAATTATTACTATCATCTAGTTGAAATTAAGAAGATGATCAAAGTAAATGTCCTTAGTCATTAGTTAAGGTTGGATCATCACGGTAGATGGGTCAGCCTGTGACTGCACCTTTCCAGTGTTAGTGGAAATCATACAAAATGTTCTTCATTGTTTGATTTAAAAACTAGTAGCAAATTTGTAAATCCTGGGAAAATCCTGAAGCTTGCACATTTAAAGTAAAAATGCATAAGGCAGCTGTCAGATGTGCCAACACTAATGATCCCACATCAGAATTGCAGCTCACTGCTGGTGTTGGCAGGGAGCTGAACGACTTCCTGGAATGCTGTGATGAGAACACAGTCCTGCAAAGGACCTGCTACTTGATGATGATGATGATAAAATGTGGTATAGTACTTACTGTGCAGCATCCTTCAAAAACGGCATTTCTTCTGGAAACTTCAGTAGTTTAGGATTTTTCTCTTCTGCTTCCTGAAAGAAAAAAATAAATTTCAATGTTATGTTGCAAGTATAATGTTCTTTCTTCTTTTCTTTGTCTTCTTTTCTCCTTCTCTTCCACCGTTTGTGCGTTTTTTTCCAATGCATTGTATAAGTTGGTGTTCATTTCTGTTAGGTTGCTCTTGATGATGTCACTCCATGTCTTGCTTGGTCTTCCCCTTGCTCTGTTTTTTTTTTAAATTTCTCTTTAGCATGGCTCTCTGTTGAAGTTGGTACCAGGGCATTCTCATCAGGTGGCCAAACTATCTCATTTGTTGTTCTTTAATGTAGTGTATGACTGATTTCAGTCCTAACCTCTTCTAATTTCTTATTCTTGATTTTATCTCTTCTTGTCACATTGGCAGATCTCCTAAGACATCTCATTTCTGTTGTTATGGATCTTCCACTCATTAATTGATTCTCTTAATGAGTAATTCCAACAATTAAATGTACATAGTTTCACTATCAGACTAAATAACACCACTTCAAAATTGCCTGCAGTATTAATGATGACAGGAACCATACTGACAACTTGATTTCCCCATGTAGGTTCCGGGACCCATTATGGGGAAACAAGAATAGACCCACTTCCTGTCCAAAAAGAATGTCGTAGGAGTCAACTAATTTGAGCTCCCTTCGAAGTTGGATTTCATCTGCCTGAGCGGCAAGGAACAACCAGCTGCACACAAATAAGCGGTTAAAACAGATTTACACGCAAAACCCAGGCCCTGGCATGAAGCCAAAATCCAAAAAGATGAACAACCAGGACTTTCTGCTGGAGCTTACAGACAGTGAGATAGAAGAGCTTGATTACAGTTCAGCAGATGATTCGCAAAATATATCGAAACTGAAGTTACATTGTTTTATATACATCTGATATAAACGCCAAGATATAAACTGTAATGTAAATGTCTTGAAAGAAAATAGCTCTTGAATGAACATATTACCCACATCAGAAGTAGACAGTGTACATTCTTTGGGTCCCATCATGAAAAATGGGAGTACATCATGATGACAGGACAGACAGAGGGGAAAAGAGGTACAGAGAGTTCAAGAGACAAAATGCTGGACAATTAGCAATATGGCAAGGAGGTATATTGGTGTTCAAAATGATTGAAAGAATGTAAGACAGAAGGCTGGGGATAGATATGATTACCAACATCCTACAGTTGGGACCTTAACTCTATCAATCCTGGAAAAGTACAGTTGATGACCATAGGAGGGGAATATGGAAACACCAAACCTGTAGGTGATTCACCCCCCCCCCCCTACCCCCATATTTTCCAGGCTGCTATCTGAATGTTTGACCACCCCGGAATTACAAAATATCAGTCTGGATGGCAAGCCAATAGGGCATATCCCAGATACCCTGTTCAACTGCCAAAGAAGCTATAACTGGGGCATCCATATTGACCATACCAGTCTGATACAACCTGCAATCCTGTGTGAGTAAGGATATGTAACTTTGCAGAAGTAGTGTCAGCAGATGTAAGATTAACAAAGCAAGAGAAGGAATAGCAAAACTAGCAACAGTTGTGACTGAAGTATATATCATTTTTCCACCTAAACCAGGGCTATACAACTAAGTTTACTCAGGAGCCAACATTTTTTTAAGGGAATCGTCATGGGCCAGAGACCCTAGCTCAGAAAGATCATTAATACAAAACAACTGACAATGATCTGCAGGCCATTTGTTAGGTCTCTGCGGACCAGATTGGGCCCACGGGCCGCCAGCTGAAAAACAAGAAAAAATAGGCAGACAAAGCAGACATTTCTCAGAACGTACATACCTGAGCAACATAATGCATGAGGTTCATCCCCGGTTTATTTGCCCTAATTTCTGTCAGCTTCAACAAGGAAGACAACTTGAAACCCGCAGCATTACCTGCATAGTTTCCCTGTAAATAGACAGTTTATGCAAATAATTATAAGCAGTCCTGGAAATAGTTAAGTTATACAGACACTTGTCATAGCTGCCATGGCATGAAACAGAAACAAACCCCTAAAACCTAATTTAACCTATAATAACGTAGTATTAGGGAACTTCTACAGTTAAACAGCAACCTGCTGCCTAATGTGGGGTATGGGGGCTTTGAGTACCTGGCCTCTTTTCATGTTCAGTAGGTCAATATAAAGGTTATATGGTGATTGTCCACATCATAAAGAGACAATCTACATTCTTTGGTCAGGTGATGAGAAGGAGAAAATTGGAGTACATCGTGATGGTAGGAAAGTTTGGAGGGGAGGAGAGGCAGAGGGAGACTGAGACAACAGATGCTGGACAGTTTTACATCATGGCATGGAAGATCATCTGTGTCAAGAGTTGACTGAAAGTACCCAAGACAGAAGGTTGTGGACAGACATGACTGCGAATGCCACACGGCATGTACTCAAAGGAGAAGAAGAAGAAGAAGAAGAAAAAGGTGAATACATCATTGATTGTTGTAGTATACTGTCTGCTGGCTGGTAGTTGATTTATATAGGTGAGCCATTTTAGCTACTGTTTTATAATGAAATATTATGTAATTATGTACTAAAAATATCAGACTAGTTGTTTAGGTTCAAATCAACATAGTCAGATTTAAAATAATATAAAATTACACTGGCTCCCAGGTCGACTCAGGTTGAAATGGATACTAGGTAAATTTTTGGGAAGTAGAAAAGATGTTGACTAAATCACCCATCTAGTGCTGATTGATCTCTAAAATTATGTCTAGCATCATATACCTCATATGAGAGTGGTGTCAAAAGGAGTCTTTACTTTGACTTATGGCAGGATAAAAGATGAATGTTGAATTAAGAATCGACATCACAGCACTCAAGACACTCCCATAAGCTCTCTGTCCCTATCTTCAGCAGCAAGCGAAGAGTTCCAATTCCCATGACACCAGTACCTGTCTGACTGTTTATCCATCTCGCCTTTCCCTTGAGTGTTGAGAGTCGGCCAGATCTCCTGGTAACTCCCCACAGCACCATTTTCCTTGGACCATAATGATCTATTTGTGTCTTTGCACTGTTCACTCGCTCCTAAAGGGCCCTCACAACATGTAGCTTGTCATTCATCAGTTCACTACCAAGTGGTGCAGAACCAGCCTGTATCTCTGCCTACTTGTTTCCCAGCACACCATCATGGCCTGGAGGAGATCCAAAGGTTGTTAACTACCCAGGACCTGTAAAGCAATGCTTGCCACTCTGCATGGAGCATGTCTGTCTCCACCTTTCTCAACATGCTCTGTGAGTCAGTTACAATTACGACATGTAATGAAAAATTAATTCTTGTAGGACATCTGTGGTGACGTGGCCAAGCTGATTGCCTCATGTTCTGAATATTGTATTTTTTTTTTGGGGGGGGGGGGGGGAGGAGAGGGGTGGGGGGATTGTGTCCTTTAGTTCACAACTGCATTTTTTCTGAAATTCCTGAGGGTTATCTTAGAGTTACATATACAGTATTTTACACATTATCTTGGCAGATGGCCAGCAGCTCTGTTGAAGCCAGGTGGGACAAAAACTTGTGCAGTGAAGTTAAAGAACTCACCTTTTAATCACTTTCTTAGTGTTGATGATACTAAGTAAAGGAAGTAAAATAGTAAAGGAATTTTCCATACCTTTGGAACATCGAGAGTATGGTCAACATCATACTGACCACCTTTACTTCTGATGATATTACCTGGTACATGTTTTAGTAAACCTGGGATCCAAGGTCATTTTTGACAACTATCTACCTCAAGAATTTGAACCCTTAACCTTTGGGTTGGCCAGCAAGTGGCTTTATTAAGTAGTGAAGATTAAATTTACTCACAGAGTTGAGGTAGTTGCCAGAAATAAGTATGAGATAAATCAGTTCCTTCAGTGACTGGCTGTCTTGAATATCTGGAAACAAAGAAGTCAAAAGTAACATTTTTTACATTACAGTCAAACTTGTCACCTTGTTTATATTCTCATGGGTAATCATCATTCAGATCAGAAAAAAGAATCGAGGAGAAAACTCCTCGTGGTACCCCTTACTTGACTGCTGCCATTTTGCTTTTGATTCCCAGCAGGTGTACCATTGCTTTGCTGTTATATATGTATTGTTTGAGACTGTGGACCATTTTATGGGTGATGTTTTATCTTCTTCATTTTAATAACAAGCCTTTAATCCAGACTCTGAAAAAGGCCTTTTCCATGTCAACCCATACTGCTGCTGTAGATTTCTTTTCTCGACAGCCCTCGTCAGTCACAAAATACTCACCATGTTCTACAGAAATATTTTTTCTTGCAGTAGAGAGATCTTTTTAGACGTTTGTGGCCTTCTTCTATCTATCTTCTTTTACCCCACCAGGACATCTCACAAGCAATTAAACACCCAATGACACAAAGTGCCACTATGTGGATGAGGATCATCCGTGGAGAGGTCCCAGAAACCACATTCAGCCATTAGACCATATTTATGGCCGAGCTATATTGTGGCCCCCGGCAAGAGCAAGAGTAGGGCTTCAAATTAAAAAAAAATTGCATACCACAAAGGGACGACAAGATATTAATGTGTGGCCTTCTTAACTGAAAACCAGTGATGGGGGTGAAAAGAAACCATTTTGTGTGGGTGACTTTAATTGGAATCTCTTAATATGCAAGGTATATAATAAATTATAATGGAATCATGGAATCAAAGTAAACTGCAAACCCCATGTGAGGTATAAACAGTATGAAAAAAGATGACATAATAAGTAACTTCTTTTGTATGAGAATTACATATTTTAATAAACAAACAGAAAATGTAGGCAAATTTAAAGAGAGTTACATACCTTTAGCTGCTTGTATAACAGCCTCAATAGAAGGTCGAATCCATTCCATATTAATGTTGAACTCCTCCATTATCAAGAGGCCTTCAATCCTCATTCTGTAGCTAATGGACACAAGCAAATTATGGAAATTATTCTCATTATTAAGCATTAAATTTATTATTACCTTTATAAAAGTTTTTGAAAAAAAATAAAGCCTAGTTACCTCTGACTGATTAACAGTCAAAATTCAATGTTCTGCTTATAGAATGAATTGGCTTGAATTGGGTTAAGGGCCTGTGTTCCGTTGGGTGATATAGGGTTTTAGAATAAGTATCATCTTCCCTGACTTTCATATACTTGAGTGCTCAAAATTGATCTGAATAACTGTCTCCAGATTAACTATGAGTCCAACAGATGACAATGTGGATTTCTGTAACTAGTCATTCTTAGTACCTGGTAAAGAGTATGTGTGTTGATCGTTTAAATTTTAGACTTGTCATGTAGCAATTATATAGTTGGTCAAGTGATTAGAAATCTGGGCTCACATGTGAGAGACCTGGGTTTGATTATAGATCAGGTGATGGAGGTTTTCTGGGGCTTAATACAGACAGCAATTAAAGTTTTATAAATTTTTTTTTTAGCCACCTAAAGTGGTTTCTATCTCAAAAAGTTAAAAAAAAAATGTTACACAGATGTCAAATACTGTTGTACTTACTTTGGAAGCTTCATTAAGCAAAAGAAAAATCTCTCAGCATTTCCAAGTTTATCTATGGCCCCTTTGTATGCATTGAAGGCATCAATCTGAGGAATGGAATAGTAAAGACTTGATTCGATGGCAGAAAGCATCAACTGTCCAAATATAGTAAAAGTAAAAGTAAAGATCCCTTTTCATGCCTTTCGGCGCATCGGGCATATGGGCAGAGCGTCCCATATTTTTAAAGACCATCAGCACTCTGTGGGTAATGTGGTCAACATTACGCCGGCTGTCTTTACTTTCCCAGGACAGCCCATCCTGGTACCCATTTTAGGCTGGGTCGACCTGCGACGTCCCATACCACGACAAAAATCCACGCAGCCTGCAGTGGGTTTCGATCGCGGTATGCTGGCTTACGAGTCGGACTCGCAACGCCTTAGCCACGGACGCCGCTGTCCAAATATAACTGTCAGTAAAACTACTAGTGAAATATTTTCTAATTAGCATCCGTTTTATTGTGTGTGTGTGGTGTTTTTGGAGGATGAGGGTGTCTTGATTTAAAAAAAAAAAAAAATTTGGAAACTGTAAGCTGACAATTTCATATCTCATCTTTTTAATGTTTACCCGTTATAAACTCTAACAGAAAATTCTGGCTTTTGATCTCTACTACTATATAAAGGTGTGTGCAAATAAGACATGAGTGATTCAAGTATTGGGGTGGACTCATGGGAACAAAATGTCATGGAGCTTGTTGCGTGGAGGGGGCACATCAGGAAGGGAATGAGAATGAAAGGAGTAAAGATTGCAGAAAGAATGAGAGCTGAGTGTCTGAGAAAAAACAGACTACACACAAATGTTGACAACAATGGTCCTGAAATCCTGTGCTATCATTATGGAAGACTCTTCTTAATGTGGGCAGGTCTAGCTAGTCCCACTCGCCATCGCCATGGGCTGTGAGTCCCATGCCCCCTCATAGCACAGTATAACACTATCATCTGGAAAGACGGAAAGGTGCCAATCATAAACCATCCAATTTTGGAGTTTTGTTTTGTTCCAGGACTTGAGTTTTTGCATGCACATCCCTTTTACAGATCTAACTTATCTGTATGCAGTCTGTTGATTCTTCACCTCTCAGGAAGGTGCACTTAGACTTTAAAGAAAACCCATCTGTCTCTTTTACAACATGCTTGTTAGGAAACAGTGGGTCTATTCACCCCCCCTCCCAAAAAAAATGGGGCCACGGAACCCACACTGTGAAATTTCATATCTGAGAGTTTTTGCAGTTCCTGAATGGACCTTGCCAAACCAGTAACCAGCATTATGTATCGACTTAACCACAAAGCCGACCACCAGACTGATACATTTGTGAATTCGAGGACCTTTTACCAATCTGTCAGATAAAGTCAGATTAGCAAATAATTAATAATCTGACCTCTTCTTGGGAAGGGAGCAGCTTGAGCAAGCTTCTGAGTCTCTCGGCTCCAAACTTCTCACAACGACCTTCTCTAACCAATCTGACGATCTCTTCATGTTCCATGCGAAACTGTTTCAAGAAGATGTTCACGTTCAGACTTCTCTTACCATCAAGGATGTTCACCTGAAATAAAATCATAAAAAAAAGAATTATTAATAAATCATTCCTATTAATAGAATTGCACATTCTTCTTCTTGTGTTCGCTTTCTGATTTACACCGACAGACAGGTTCTTGTGATAAACTTGACTGTTTTTATGAGTTCATTTTTAGTCCCATACAACTTTGTGTACAGTGATGACTCACTGGGCCAGTATACCTTTCTTAATGGGCTGAACAAGGGACAGTCTTGCAGGACATGTTCTGTAGTCTGCACACATAGCCCACAAGGGCAAAAAGGTGAACTACTTAGACGAAGCCTGTACATATGCTGGTTAAGTTTATTATGTCCTGTCCTGAGACGTAGGACAATGACCTGCCCATGCCGGTCAAGTGAGTGGTAGTCATCTTTGGCAAGACTCTGTTCACTTCTAATAGCCTGGATGGCCCTTTTCTTCTCATAGTATGTTACTGCATTCTCTTCCTGATCACATTCTGCCCCTTTTTTTAGCAAGTTTATCTGCGGTTTCGTTTCCTGGTATACCACAGTGGGATGGCACCCACTGGAGTACAGTACACTTTTGGGCAGCCACCTTGCCAAGTTCAGATCTCAAGTGAGGGAGTTTGCCACTCTTGAGGGCTTGAAGCACTGAAAGCGCATCTGTGAATATAACCACTTGGTGGCAGTCAGAACTGGTGTTGTGTAACATTTCGGCAGCCTGCTCTAGTGCTACAATCTCTGCTGTGTAGTTGGAACAGAATTTACCAGTGGGTATCCACTTTGTGTGGCGGTGGTTGCCTGGGTATGTAATAAAGACTCCAGCACCCCCATTTTTAACCGCACTGGTTGCTTATCCATCTGTGTAAACATGTATCCATGACTGTTCGGGATAGTTTTCATGAATCATGCTAAGAGCAGCTGTTCGTTTTTGAAGATCATTGGACTCATCTCCAGTTGTGAATCCATTGACTGAAGTCATTATCTGTATTGTATCACTGACTTGCTCCCAAGGTACAGGGTATAGGGTAGGTTTCAGCGGTGTTGTTCTAATAGGTAGATCAGCTTGATACTGTCTTCCAAGTCTTTTCCCCCGATGGACAAAGCTGCTACGTTTGAGACGCCAGATCATCTAACCTTTTATTCATTGGGTGTGACTGCATACTATTAAACTTCTCCATCTGGATCATAGTTTTAGTGTCTCTTCTATAGGACAGTGTCTGCATTGCAGTTATTTTCTGCATCTTCAGGCTACTCTTTTCGATTTCCAAATGCCAAGGGATTTTTTACGTGCGCAACAATACAAACGGGTGTCCGATCTTACTACCCAGAGACCAGGGACATCTAGAACTCGAGGCTGACGCCATGCCTCGAGTCCACGCAGCCTCCTATCACATAAATATTTCCTAAGTCAGGTGCCATGGCCATCTTGACAATGAAAAGTCGGTTCTGCGGATTTTGAATACTCTGTCTCTAGCCTCAGTTTTAGACTCTCTCAGACTATCTGGTATATCTTGCTTTAATAAGAAACTGAACTAGATTTCCAGACCGACCAAACCTAAAATGACCGTTAGGAAATATAGTGGTAGGTAAAGGCGAAACTATTTATGAAGTTCGTGCTATCATTACTCAACACATTGGCCACTAGCAACCTTTTTAACAACAGTGAACAGTCCTCCATTGCAATGGTACTGGACAAGGAACAAGATTTACTGGCCTTTCCAAAACGAAATACCAGAGTGGAACAATCTTTACTTGTAAGTAAATTTTACCCCACCAGGACATCACACGGAGCTTCAAAATAACAAAAAAAAAAAAAATTTGCATCCTACAAAGGAGATGACGAACATTATGTTTTAGTGGAGTATCAAATCTTTACTTATATTTTTTTTTAACTTTTCAAATGGCTAACAAAATCACAAGTCAATAGTTTTACTTCAGTGGTTCCAAAATGTTGTTATTTTAACCCCGTTTGTCTCAAACACTGGCCTCGTTAAACTACAATCTCTTGGGAAAGAAAACAAGTTAAAGTAATCAGAGGCACGACATAATACGGACGTGTGCTACACACATGCTCTCTAAATGCAGAAGTGAGATCCCAAGTTTGGCCAGTTGGCATTCTAATGAAATCAAGTTGTATGGAACAGTGGGGGACATGCGTCGCACTACAGACTCCATAGAGACCCTGGCCATCTCATCTGAAAACAACTGACTGGGAGAATAAAAATAAATGAAGTAAGACAGACCAGTCCTGACAGATTTAATACAATTCTGGTGTACCGGTAACTATTTAAGGTCTCTAACAGCCCGTGGCATAACATATTGTCAGGTAGGCTTTTATATGCTGAATTAGTTGTGTGTTTTTTTTTTCCAGTCTGGAAAATGCATAACCGAACAAGCTGATTGCTACTTGTAAAGGCGTAAATCATGTTAAAGTGTACCCAACAATAGTTGGGGAAGGGGGAGAATAATAAGGACGAGGAGGAAGAAGAAGAACTACGGGTAAAATACATACTTTCGAAGTGCAGGGAAGAACTATGGAGTATGTATTTATTAAACAACAGATCGCGTGTGTTATGGAAAACAAACAAGAAAACCTAGTTACAATAAACAAGAGGACGACTGATGGCTATAAGCTTTTGAAACTCTACAAACTAAAGATGGACACAAAGGTCACCACAAACTAGTGACCCATAAGTTTCCGCAAAAATGAAAAATACAATGTTTATTTTTCCTATGCATGGAAACTTATGGGACACACTACACTAAAAATAGACAGATTTTGAAGGATTAAAAAAATTCATAAAAAGATTATATAAGATTAACGCTAACGACATCCCACAGTTCAAAACTTCAGGCGCAAATTTAACTACTGATTTCATAAGGCATGCATGCTGAACAATCAGTTTGTGGACCATAATTTATGGCTCTAGTAGGGGATTGCAAAACTTTCATTTCTGGAGGTAATGATTGTATGATCATCATCATCAGGTGCCTTGCCGACTGGCGTAGGCGATCATGCCTCTCCATAATCTGCGATCTCCTGCAGCATGTATCACTTCGTGTGCCGACACACCTCTATGCCATGCAACAAGACTGTCAAGCATCTTCTCTCGCTGTCTACCTCTATCTCTCCTTCCACATATCTTTCCATGTATGATATGCAAGCTGAATACAGAATATTGATCACAACTATGCAACAGGACAAGGCTCAGATGCAGTACATATTATGTAAACAATAAAGACAAATCATGTAGGTAGCTCTTAGGAATCATAACCGAGGCTTCTTATAACTGATACACAGTGCTTGGGTGGGCGTAGAGGGTGTTTAGCTTTTTGAGTCCCAAGGAACGCATTATAGGTTTCTACCTAAAAGCCCTTTGAAGACATGATGCGTCGATTTTAGTCTCTCTTCACTACCCCTTGGGCCTGCGATGATAAACCCCATGGAACTCAAAGAGTTTGGCATTCTAAAATATCTTTCTTCTTAGTCTAAGTCGTAAGGCATTTGTGATCATATCTGTCTATGACCTTCTGTCACAAGTTATGGCGCCAAGAGATTTAATTTAACACCTTCTCTCTTGATCTCCCCTTGCCTCTCTTCTTCTGTAAATTCCATGTTGCCACCAAATATTCCAGTTAACTCCTTCTCGTAACGATCTCAAAATCATGTTTAAAAACAGAAATCCCGGAGTCATCATCATCATGAAGTAGGTCCTTTGCAGAACGTCGCTCTCATAACAGTCTGCCTGTGAGAAACTCGGTCTCTTGCCAGTTCTCCCGCCTCATGAACTTTCACACTCAAGGAGTCACTTATATCCTGTGCCCCTCCTTCCTGGTACCATGCCTTCTGCTATATTGTTTTCCAATCCGTCGTGGCGCTTGATATGACCAAAATATTTCAGCTTTCGAGAAAGGATGCTGTTTATTAGCCAATCTTCCTTGGTGTTCAGATCTTTTAAGATGTCAATATTTTTCATCTTCTTTGTCCAAGATATTCTGAGAATCTTTCTATAGCATTTCAGCTCAAAAGCTCCTATTCTCTTTCTTAAGGACTGAGAGATAGTGGACGACTCACATCCGTATGTAGCCACAGGGAAGATGCATGCTCTCAAAATTATAATTTTTATCTCCTTGCTGGTGTTTAACCATAGACTTTTAAGGCTGTTCAATCTTTGCATTGCTATGGCCATCCTCCGTTTAATTTCTGTCGAACAGTCTCCATTCCGGAGTAGCAACACAGATATGTAAAGATGGCTGACGAATTGGGGGAGAATCCACTGGACCAAAATTTGGTACCAGAAAATGTTCTGAGGAGTAATGGTTGTCGGTGTGATATTCACCAAATCTCCCATCGAATCTAAATTGTCTATAGAATATGAAACTTCAATACCGAACACGTATCAGGATGTTGGGACAACCGTTTACTTATAATTAGACAAAATATGTTACAAACAGAACGATAATTTGAACATGTCTATCTAAGTGGGACATCAAATAGCCAAGGAAGAATAACAGGAAAGAAAAAAAAAAGAGAGGGAGACAGATGAAGGGAAGAAGAAAAATAAAAAAGGAGGAGGAGAAAAAAAACGAGGAGGAGAAGGAGAAGAAGAAGAAGAAGAAGAAGAAGAAAAGAAGAAGAAGAAGAAGAAGAAGAAGAAGAAGAAGAAGAAGTAGAAGAAGAAAAAGAAGAAGAAGAAGAAGAAAGTTTAAGACTACATTATTGTTAAGAGACTAAAATAGCAGTCGTTTTGTTTAAACATACTATTTTTCTAATTCAGTTCTGCATCACTGTCTCTAAACAAACACATGCGACCTCTAAGGGAAATCCTAGAACTCAGGGCTACCACAACTGACAAAGGCAAGTACAAACCACATAGTTTATTATACACACAATAAACAAACAGACAATGTATTGATCGGTATTAACGAAGCCGTAGGTCGAATAATATAAATTACTGTAACCTATGCTGCCATTTAAATGGTTTAAGATTAATTCTTTCCGTATTCCATGGTTGTGGATTTCAA